ACGGAAATTTCTGAAGATTTAATATTGGACGAAAATATTTATTTGCTTTAGATCATGAATGTCCTATTTTCATGAAATTGACATGAGAAAAGTTTGCAAATTAAAGTGTTTAAGCATGTACATTGCTTTTCGTACAAGTAAAAATTGCAATTGATATTTTTACGTGAAAATAATATGTTTTTAAATGTTTAAAGTCCTTAGAGTCCATCGTGGATTGAAGTAATTTGTTTAAGACTACCATATGGTATCGAATGTACCGACCAATCTTAAATTTTTCTCTTTGATAAAAGTGAAATAACCTTCGGGCAACCTATGATAGTGCTATGTACATTATATCTCCATGTTGACCTATTGATTAGATATACATTCCCATGCTAGTGGACAATAATTTTTATAGGCTTAGTGTGACAACTGATAAAGTTTTTCTAGGGTGAATTTAGATCAACATTTAAAGAAGTATTTAATACTCAAATTTGAGTTGTTTTGAATAAATTTTTTTCTTATAACATTGCCTTATGTAATACGTGGAAAATTCTTCTTTTGAATGTCTGAATATGCTTCTTACATTGTTCTTTATAATAGTTTACTTAAAGTTAGTACTAGTAATTTTCTAAACTTGTCTAATCTGCTAATGATAAGTTATCTGCTCACTGAATGTAAACTCACCTAAATATTTTAAATCTTTTTCAGATGAGAAATAGACAGCTTCAACTATAGATTGGAGTTTAGGATATGAGAAGGATCTTCTAGAGAATGCTTTGATGCTCAATTTATAGTTATCTTAGACATCTTGTTATGCTTATGTAATAAGAGCAAATTGTTGAAATTTTAAGAAGACGTGAAGGCTACATATGGTGTGCTATCTTCTCTCATGTTTGCTGGAACCTATGGATCAGTAGGAATAAAGTTTTGTTAATTTGAAAATTTGAGCTTCTCTTGTAAACAGATTACTAATCAGACAATTTATGGATTGCATGAATGGTCAGGGGATGGAAGGGGTATTGCAGCAAGACACTTATCAACTAGGCTGGAGGGGCACCCAATATCAAGAGAAAGTATTTGGCGACAATTGACGAGCTTTTCTTTTTTCTATGTTGTCCTCTCTCAGTTCTGTATATACTAACAGCTTATTTTTATCTTTTTTGTTTAATATAGAAAGTTTAATTTCTACTATGTACATGTATGACTGGTTTTGGTTCTTCCTTAAATTTGTGTCAACAATGAATGACGGCAAGGCCCACTCTTCATCTTTATGGATCTTTGGAAGAAGAAGGTTATACATCACTTCTAGTAGAAATTCTTTTTTCTATATTACAACATATGGACACAGTTCGTGTCCCTGATTTTGTATTGAACCATCTTTTGATACTTTTGGTTTTTAATGAACGAGGTATAACCCTTGTTTTTGCTTCAAAAAAAAAAGAGTCTTCGAGTCTTGGAGTGAACTTATTATAATGTAGTTTTTGTTTTGAGATTTCTATATGTCAATAAAGTTTCTTTTGTTGAATGTTTTTTATTGTGATATGGAAGTGCATAGCATGCTTAACATGTGCTTTCACATGTGTCGACATTGTCATCCATCCCAAAATATGCTGCATATTTTGGGGGCGTAACAAAGCAAGTCTAGTAGGCAAAAGAAAATTGTTTTCTCTGTTTCTAGTTAATTAAACTAATTATGGTATATAGCTAGCTTCCTCTGTGCAAATTAAGTAAACAGAACTAGCATGTGACTCTATTCAGTAACCGTTGTGATTTTGAAATGTTACATGTCCATCTTCACATGACAATATCATAAATACATCCTAGATCTAGGTAATGAATTACCTTGAATATTGTATGCGTGTCCACTTTTTGAAATCTTCCCCTGCAGGCTAAAGTAATGGAGAAGATTAAACACACAAGTGTGGCAGGAAGAACAAGATTTCTTTATTAATTAACTAACAAAATATGCACCTTCAACCCTTATGCTTATAGTTCAAGATTGGATACTCAGTTCCTGTTTCGATCTCTTATTCTTGATTTACAGCAATTGAATACTTTATGTGAAGAAACGAAGTAATCATATCATATAGTCCCTAACTTTCCCTAATTTGAATAGGATATGACCTTATCAAGGTAAAATTCAACCTCTTTGTCATGATAGAACTCTAAACTTATCAAAATATAAGAAAACTACAAAAAATCAAATACAACATTCCACCATCTCAGGTTTCAGATGCAACTGCTGTAATATGTTTTTAAAAATGGTCAGGGATGGCGAACACAAATTTATTGAATTACAGCATTTGTTAATTGCGCTGGGTTTTTTTTTTTTTTTTTTTTGAGAGAGAAAAACAAGGGATATACCATGTTCATTAAAAGCAAAAGTATCTTTACAAAAGTAGGATTCGATCTGTATCCATATGGATTAGTAGATAGAAAAAATAATTTCTCTAACTATGGATATATGTATGACATTCTTCTTTCAAACATCTATGAAGGTGAAGAGAGGGCCTTGCCGTCATTCACCGTTGACATAGATATAAGAAAGAACCAAAGCCATCCATACATATAGTAAAGAGAAATTAAACTTTCTATAGACTAATTAAAGCAAACTATCATATTACAAAAGAGATGTTCTATACAGTCAACAGCTGAAACAAATTGATAAAGCTTAATTAGACACCGTTGCACCTCGAAATAGGCTTATCTTCCAGAGCATCTGCTAGCTTAAAAGTAGCCTTCCCACTGCCAGAACCTGACCAATCATACAAACCAGAAATGGCTAAGTTAATGATATCTGTAGTAGAGAAGGGTGTCTTATCAAAAATATATTTATTTATTGATGTCCATAAGAACCAGCATACTGTAGAGAAAACAGATCGCCATATAATCCCATCAGTTTTAAGTAGAGATTCAATAGCTATGAAAAGATCATATAGTGATGTTGGCCACATAAAAGGTAGATAATAGTCACTGAAATATTTCCACACTGATTTGGTGAGAGTGCATGAGAAGAATAAATGATCACTAGTTTTAGGATGTATACCACATGTAGAGTCACCAAGCCAACCTTTCTTTATAAGATTATCTTTGGCGTGAAGCCTGTTCATGGATAACAACCATGTGAAGAACTGAATTTTACTTGGCATAACTGGATTCCAAACAACTTTGTATGTAGCAGATAAAATTCCTCTAAAGTTTAAGAAATCGTAAAGAGATTTGACAGTGAAAGAACCATTTGTTGAAAGAGACCATAAAGGGATGTCAATATGTTTAGTAATATTGTGCAGACCAATAAGATTCATGAGCTCAAGTTTGGCAGTGTAAGAAGAAGACGAGATGCTTCTTTTCAAAAGAGGATGCTAGTGCCATATTTGATTATGAAAGTTTCCCTGACTGCGAATAGAAACATTTTTAGACAAGGATAAGTTGTATAAACATGGGTATAAACTTGATAAAGTGTTTGTACTAATCCATTTATCTTTCCAAAATCTTATTTTTTGACCAGAGCCAAGAGTCCAATGAATAAGATGAAAAAATACTTCTTTGTTTGAGATGATATCATTCCAAAACAAAGAATTAGAAGAATTGCAAATAGCTAATTGAAGAAGTGATGCCTTTCTGATATAAAGATGATGAAGGAAAGCTCCAATTAAAAAATCTCTGTCAATACATTTCCATAACCATTTAGCAAGAAGTGAGATATTAAACAGCTTAATTAAGATCCTTCACTCCTAATCCTCCTTCTAATTTACTTAAGCATACTTTCTTCCAATTGACTAAGGATTTGAAAGGTTTGGAAATATTTTTACCAGTCCATAAGAAGTTTCTCCTGATTTTATCAACTTCCCTAATCACCCATGTAGGTAGTTTGTAGAAGGACATAAAATATAGAGGGATCGAAGAAAGAACTGAGTTTAGCAAAATAAGCCTTCCTCCAAAAGATAGACAATTACTCTTCCATGATGCTAGTTTCCGATGCAGATTATCCAACATAGGTTGCCAATCAGATTTAGATAATTTACCACTCTTCAAAGGAAAACCTAGGTACTTGATTGGAAGTTTTTCTAATTTGCATCATAGGGATGAAGCTAGAGATTGGCCTCCGTTCTGCATTCTACCAAAGTATATAAGAGATGACTTTGAATAATTTATTCCCAAGCCTGAGATATCTTCAAAGATATATAGAATTGTCTTTAGAACAGATATGTCATTGTAAGTACTTTTAACAAAAAGTAAAGTATCATCTGCAAATTGTAAGATTCTTATTTGGTTGAGAGGTTCCTTTATACTCAAGCTGGATAGAATACCATCTTCAACATTATACATGATCATTTTGCACAAAACATCAACAGCTATGTTGAAAAGTAAAGGAGATAAAGGATCTCCTTGTGTAAGACCTTTTTTGCATTTAAAAGACTTAGAAGGAGATCCATTAACAAGAACAGCACAATTGGAGGTGGAAATAATATAGAAGATCCAAGAGCACCACTTCTGACCAAAACCACGAGCCTTAAGTAGATTAATAAGAAAATTCCAATTAATAGAATCAAAGGCTTTAGCAAAATCAATCTTAACCATAGCCACTTCCTTTTTCCTTTTAGAACAAAAATGTATCATCTCATTTGCAACTAAGATAGAGTCAAGGGTTGATTTGCTAGACTGGAAGGCTGATTGAGTAGGAGCAACCAAATCATGCATATGAGGTGTCAATCTGTTTGCTAAGATTTTCGTGAAGATTTTGAAAATGCAGTTGATAAGACTGATAGGTCTAAAATCTTTCACTGTGGAATTGCCTTTACTTTTAGGAATGAGTGTGATGAGAACTTTATTCACCCTATGAAGAGCTGAAGGATTCTGAGAAAAGAAATTCATGAGAGCAACAAGATCACTTTTAATTAAATCCCAGAAAGGTTTGTAGAATAACAAAGAGAAACCATCTGGACCTGAAGCCTTGTTTGGATTCATATTAAAAACAGCATGTTTAATTTCAGATTCTGAAAAGTCTGCCTCAAGAGAAGAAGAAAGTTTTGATTTTGGGAAGGATATAAGAAGTCCCAGTTAACTGTCATGTTGCTCATGCTATCTTGACCAAAGAGGTTAAGATAAAAATCATAAAAAGCTTTAGCGATTTCACCATTGTCAGTAATATCAGTACCCAAGTGATTGATGGAAACAATATGGTTTGATCTTTTGTGAATGGAAGTTGTTCTATGGAAGAAAGATGTATTAGCATCACCCTCTTTCGACCATTGGATACGAGATCTTTGTTGCCAGTAAGCTTCTTCTTCTTGAATGATAGAGGCATAACAAGATTGATAAGATTTTCTCTCATCTAACTCAGTTGAAGTTAAGGGTCTTTGCTCTTCAATTAAGTCAAAGGAGTTGATTTTAGATAGCAGACTATCATTTCTAGAGAATAGAGATCCATAAACATTTTTCCTCCACCACTTAATTCTTCCTTTTAGAAGATAGAGTTTTCTAATGAAGATATCTACAGGAGTAACTTGACATTGAAAAGATTTCCATGAAGATTCAATGAAAGGAACAAATTTGTTGTTATGAAACCAACTCTTTTCAATCTGAATAATGGAGGATTAGGTTTTATACCCCCACAATCAAGAATAATTGGAGAGTGATCAGAGCCAATAGAAGGTCCATAATATTGGAGACTTAAAGGATGTTTCCTATCCCGGTCAGCACAAACTAAGAATATATCCAATCTAGCTAACACAGGGTTGTGACGTTTGTTAGACCAAGTAAAATAACGTCCAGACAATGGTAGGTTGATAAGGGAATTGGATGAGACAAAGTTTCTGAAAGAATTGATATCTCTAAAAGAACTATTTTTGCCATTTCTTTCCTCTGATGATAAAGTAGCATTGAAATCCCCACAAATAATCCATGGACCATCAAAAATCTGACGAAGTCTTGAAAGTTCCCACCAATAAACATCCTTGTCTTCTCTATCAATGGGAGCATTGACTGAAGTGAAAGTGAAAGACTAATTAGAAGGTGTATGAATCAATAAGACCGAAACAGAGAAGATACTAATATATGAACGTATCATAGTGAACGAGTTAGACCATCCAATAATAACATCACCCCTAGAATCAGAGGAGTCAAGGATACACCGGTGTGGTATTTTGTTGCCTCCCAAAGAACGAAGTTTCCTAGCAGAAGGTTTACAGAGCTTACTTTCCTAAAGATCGATGATGTCAATAGAGGAATGTAGAATGAAGTCCTTTACCAAACTTCTCTTATTGGGGTCATTTAGACTACACACATTCCATGATGCAAATTTCATTTAAAACTATATAAAATGAAAAACCTCCAGAAAGAACTCATAGATCATACTTCTAACAACCTGAAGATATTCTATCAACTTCTTTAACCTTCAACTTAGCTATAGAATTCTCATGCAATTTAACTCCACAAGAAGTCACAATATCCTTAATGAAATCATTATTCATAGCATTCAAAGGCAACATGATAGAAGTAGATGAAGAGGTATTGTTTTTCGTACCTTTTTTAGCAATTTTAGAGGCAGATTTAGATGAAGAGATGTGTTGCAAGAACTTCTTGTGTTTGCGGCTGATAAGAGCTTTCCTTGCTGAACGAGATGTCGAAGAAGATTGCTTATGTGAAAAACCTGGAGGAATAGAAGTGGACATCTGAAGGGCTGGAGTATCATTTGATTTTGGCGGGAGAGAGGTAGCTGAAGAATTTGAATTGCTGACGTCATGTTTCCCGCCAAAAAAATTAAGCCAAGTTAATTTCTCCAGATAGGCCGTTTGTCCATTCCAAATATGCTTGACTAATTCTACTGGGAAATCATGAATAGATTTGGCAAACGACTCAGAGCTGTCATTAGAAGAATTCGCCTGAGATTCTGCCTGATAGTTAGTTGCCAAAATTGGCAAATTTTGAATACCCTCTGGTAACGGCATCGCATTATCCTCCTTGATTTCCTCTGCATTTGAAACCATAACATTGACTGCTTTAGTCTTATCTGTTTTGAGAACAAATTGAACTTTTTCCGGTCAACTTACTACCGGAGGTACGATGACATTATCAAGAGTGACTTGATCAAGCCATAGAGAATCAATTATCACTTCTCCTTGCATTTTCATAGCATTAAGTTGTGAGCCAATAACTTCTGAACCAAATTGTCCAACACCAATAGGTTGAATTTCCAAATTCACTTCTCTAGTGAACGAATCAATTTGAGAAGTATAAGAACAGATAATGTTTCTTGGAATACATTCAGCAGATTTAACTTGAACAAGCACTCTAATATCGTGGTCATTAACTTTGTCTTTGATGTTCTTACAACCCCTCACCATTTCCCCAAAGGATCCTATGATCTTCTTGGTAATATCCAAGGACCAGAATTGAAATGGTAAAATTTTAATCTTAATCCATTGAAAGAAAGAAGAATTCACAATTTTCATACCCATATTTTCTGTACACGGTGCAAACCAACCCTTAAAGCATTCAAAATTCAAACTTTTTTCGTCAATTGCTTCCGACATTTGAAAAGAAGAGGGGAATTCCACCAAGTAATTCTTGTCTTTAATAGGTATAACTTTTCTACTCCAAGACTTCCAATTGAAAAGCCAAGACAGCTTGATTTTGATCAATTCTAACGATGGAGCACCTTCAGTGATAGTGAGAATAGCAAAAGAAGTGAGCACTTTGGAGTTGTTGCAAAGAGTTGTAGATTCTGACAAATCCACCTTCTTCTCTAGAGGACGAAGATTAGATCTGCAGAATTTAGCAATATGCCCTTCCTCATGACATTTGAAACAGATGAAAGCCCCCTTAGGGCAAAATTTAACTGAATGACGTTCATCCCCACAGTTGAAACATCGTCGGGGTTGTTTGGGATCCATGTAATCTGATGGGAAGGGGTATTTGAGAAGCTTATTGTCCATCTGGTTGGATTTCTTTTTCCAGCTAACTACTGTCCATCCTTGATCAGAATCAAAAAGGGTTTTAGAAATCCCTAGTTTCTTTTGCATAGATCCAAAAGAAGAGAACGTGGGGGGATCACTATGGGGTTTTTTCTGAGACTGAGAGCTTCTCCAACCGAACGCGATCCCCCCAAATTGACGCAAAAAAAGTTCCTGTTCCTCCTCCAACCGAACGCTTTCCCCAGCGCCATTTTGGGGGAGAGCTACAGTGCTGCGCCATTATATGTATTATATAATTATATAATTATATAATTTGTTAAATATTTTAAATTTCAAAAAATGTTAAAAAATAAGAATAATAAAAGGAATATTCTTTTTGGTGTAATATTTGGTGTAATGGGTTGGAGATGGAATAGTAATTTGGTGTAAAAACTACACCAACTTGGTGTAAAAACTGTAATGGGTTGGAGATGGAATAGTAATTTGGTGTAAAAACTACACCAACTTGGTGTAAAAACTACACCATTTTGAGTTTTATGGTTGGAGATGTGGTGTAAAAACTACACCAACTTGGTGTAAAAACTACACCATTTTGAGTTTTATGGTTGGAGATGCTCTGATGGCTGTCAAATAGGGAGTTGAACGAATGTGGGAAAACTTGTTGACGTGGCTGATACATAGGGGCGGGTGTAGGTACATGGGGAAGGGAAGAGAGAGGTTTTAGAAAAACTTTTGAGATCACATATCCCTTGCTGACATCATGAATAACGTGATGGCAAGAAGAACCAAGAAGACCACTTTGAGATGAGGAAATTACCTGAGTAGCTTTGATCTTTGTGAAATCACCTGTCTTCTTGATCGCCTCAATCTTCTTTGTCGCTCCGAACTCCATTGATATGTTCTTGATCTTTAACAAAATGATATTAATCTCTTCTTTTAAGAAGAATATATTGGTGGGAACCGCAGATAGTGGGAGGGTCCAATATAACTCACAAGATATTAGGTTTAATTGCCCTGGTTGGTAACTTGAGTAATTATAAAACAAAAATTTTTAAATTAACCAAATTTCGGCCATCGAAGCCCATGTCCTTAGAAAATTGGTATGCTTTTAAAAATAAGTGTTAATTCAGTCAATTTTTATAATTAAATTAGAATAATTTTTTTAAATCCAATCGCTTATTACTTACCAAAAAAATTTTGAGCATTGTTGTATATCTTTTTTTTTTTTGAGAAAAAGGATGGAACACCCCAAAGATATTCCAACCAGCTAAATTAAAAGGATGGTTGTTACAGAAAATAGTTTATACTCCCAACCAAGAGTATGCACTAGAGTTCAAAAGAAATTACTGCAAGTAGTAGTACTCCATCTCCTATATACATCTGGAGATAACCACCTAACTGATTTAACAAGTTTGACATCAATAACCAAAACACAAAAAGGTAAAGATTAACAAAGTTTTCTTTCAAACAAAGCATAAAGCATATAACAGTATCTCCAGCGGCTATTAATCCAGCAGAAATATGATTGCACCTCATCATTCTGACTGAATTACTATGACCGCATCATTCTTCTTCCAAATTCAGCAACATCAGCAGTTATAAAACCAGTATCTCTTTTTCTCCTTCTTTCTTGTAATCTGAAAGCTCGAGCAGAAATCCCCTCAGATCCTAGCCAAAATGTTGAGAAAGTCACAATTTTGTTCAAGAGGACAAGAGAACTCTTCTTCTTATTAGAAAATAATCTATCATTGCGCTCCTGCCAGATACACCAGATAAGAGAACAAATAAAAACTTTTCTCTTCATATTAGAATCTCCATTATATCCACTGGTCCACTGTAGCCAAACTTCTTTTATAGAATTCAGTCTAAACACTTTATTAGTTTTCAACTTGAATTGAATTGATCTCCAAATAGAGTATACAAACTCACAGTTGAGAAACAAGTGAGAATGATCTTCATCTGTTTTAGCACACAAACAGCAGGTCTTCTTTAAACAAACTCCTTTTTTAGCTAGGTTATCTGTCGTATTCAAACCATTTCTGAAAGCCAACCAAACTAAAAACTTAGCTTTTAAAGGAATATGAAGATCCCATAAGTTTGCACAGTCAAATCTTAGACCACCATCAATAAGGAATTGATAAAAAGATTTAACTAAAAAAAAATTTTAGCCTCCCATAACCATTCTCTTTTGTCTTCATGATGACCAAAGGTAATAGAATTGATAAGATTCAACATATTGAAATATTGTATAACCAAATCCCCAGTTAACTGTTTTCTAAACTGCACATCTCATCTCCAAATGTTGTTATCATTAAATCTCATACTATTAATGGATGCACAGGGGGATGAGGACAGGAAAAATAAGGATGGAAACATAGAAGCAAGGGTAAATGGCCCTACCCATTTATCCAGCCAAAATAAAGCATGATTTCCATTTCCAACCACTACATGTGTACTGCATAAAAAACAGTCAGCAATAGTAAAAAGATTTCTCCAAAAATGTGAAAGTTTTAATCTTTCGGCATTTAAAAAATTTGTCCATGATTTTCTTTCAAATGTACATGACCACTAATTTGTTTCCAAAGTCCATATTTCTCATCCAACCACTTCCAAAGCCATTTTTCCAAAAGGGATTTATTCATAATTTTTAGATTTTTAATTCCCAAACCCCCACAGAATTTTGGTTTACAAATTTCTTCTTATCTAACCAAATTTGAACAACTTTTATGCTCAGAAGATCCAGTCCACAAAAATCTCCTTCTCATTTTATCAATTTTTTCAATAACCCATGAAGAAAACAAAAATAAAGATAGTCAAAAAATTGGCATAGAAGAGAGAACAAAATTAACCAGCACTAATCTGCCTCCTCGTGATAAAGATTTACCTTTCCATGAAGATAATCTTTTCTCTATTTTGTCGGTCAAAGGAAACCAATCCCCTTTTTTTAATCTTCCAAGTCGTAATGGTATCCTAAGATAAGTAATAGGAAATTTACCACTCATGCAATTCATCATAGTAGCCAAATTTTGCTGCAAGGACTCATCATTTTCCAGAGCTATTAGAATACTCTTATTGAAACTAATTTGTAAACCAGAAGCAAGTTCAAAACAATATAGAATCAGTTTCAAAACTATCAACTGCATTCTATCATTTTTATAAAAAATCAAAGTATCATCTGCATATTGTAAGCAATGAACTTTATGATCCATATTAGAAGGGCCTAATCCTTCAATGAGGTGAGAATCCACAGCAAGATTTAACATTTTTGTAAAGGAATCTGCTGCTAAAATAAAGAGAAGGGGTGATAAAGGATCTCCTTGACGAACTCCTCGTTTAGACATAATCCAACTCCCTGTTTTACCACTTATGTTAATGGCAGACATACCCTTATTCAAGCATAATTCCATCCAATTAATCCATCTGACACCAAATCCTTTGGCTTTCAGAACTTCCAGAATAAAATTCTAGTCAAGCATATCATAGGCTTTCGCAAAATCTAGTTTTAATGAAATCCCTCCCTTTTTTTATTATAAAATAATCATTAATAATTTCTTGGGCTGCAACCACTCCATCAAGAAGAAATCTATTTTTAATAAAACCAGATTGCAATGGATCAATGAGCATCTTAAGCTTAGAATTCAGTCTATTAGTAAGAACTTTAGTAATCACTTTGTATATCACATTAAGAAGACTAATAGGCGTCATTGACTGTACAGGTCTCACTCTTTTTAGGGATAAGAACAATATGAGCATAGTTAAGTCTATTGATTTCTAATCTGTCCTCATAAAATTCCTCAAACAAATTCATAACATCATTTTTCACAGTGTCCCAAAACACTTGAAAAAATAAAGCAGGGAAGCCATCAGGGCCAGAAGATTTATCACCATTCATGTCAAAAATAGCTCTATGAACTTCTTCCACTGAAAAAGGATGTTCAATATCACTGAAGCCCTAATCTGATATAGGGAACAATTTATTCCAATCAAGCTGACATCTATTAGGAACATTTTGACCATAAATCTGGCTATAATTGTTAAAGAAAACCTAAGCAATACCATCCTTAGAACTTATTTGAACATTATTATAAGTAATAGATGAAAACAAATTACTTTTTTTTCTTCCATTAGCAATTTTATGAAAGTACGCAGTGTTATGATCTCCCTTCTTGAGCCAAAGAGCTTTAGCCCTTTGTTTCCACATTTACTCTTCTTGAAATAAAATTTCATTCAACTGCATAGAAACATCATCCTTTTTTAACAACACATCATCTGTTAGATCTCTATCTTCCTCTAACACTTCCCATTTTAAAAGATCTTCTAACAATTCTTTCTTTTTCTGTCTAACACTATAAAAATTTGAATGAACCCACTATTTAATACGTTTCCTCATAAATCTTAATTTACCTACTATATTTTTAGCTGCAGAAGTACTTGAGGGAGCACATCTCCACCATATAGGAACACTCTTAGTAAATTCCTCAGATTGTAACCAAATTTTCTCAAATCTGAATTTATATATAAAATGTTGATTATCTCCACAATCAAAACTAATAGGAGCATGATCAGATAATTGACTACATAAGCCCTGTTGCTTTGAAAAGAGGAAAGCATCCTCCCACTCAGAGTTGAAAAAAACTCTGTCAAGCCTAGCCATAGAAGGAAATCTTCTTTTATTTGACCAAGTGAATTTTCTGCAATGTAAAGGCCTATTAATCAATTCTAATTCATTAGGTACGTCATTAAAATCTTCCATTCCCTTTCTATGAATGCTTTTATCTTTTCTATCATCAGGATTGGAGGTAATATTAAAATCCCCCACCACAACCCAAGGACTTGGGAAATTAGCTTTAACTACTTTAAGCACATGCCAAAAAGATTGTCACTCACTATTACAATGAGGTCCATAGACTGAAGAAACAGTCCAGATAAACTCATTTTTTTATTTTGTAAAACCACAATCAAGACATATTTACCAGATTTCTCCTGCAAACTCCTCCATTTAAGAGTATTCCATCCAACCATAATTCCACCAGAAGCTCCCTCAGCAGGCACAAAAGCCCAGTCAAACATATTACCCCTAAACTTTTAAGGACATTGTCAGTAATACAATTCAACTTAGTTTCCTGTAAACAAACAATCTCAAATTTGTTCAAATGACAAAAGTCCTTAACCCCAAATCTTTTAGTACTCAAACCTAAGCCTCTCACATTTCATGTAATCAACATATTAACATAAACATTCCCCACAAAGAGAATATATCCAGAGACTACACATTGGTAGCTCTTTCAATCTCCATCTGTCTTACTTTTTTTAGAGGATCAAAATCCTCTTGAGACTCAAGAACAATAGCACATTTAGAAGCAAACTTCTGTAATTAATTATTAGTGCAATTATCAAACAAAAAAGGCACAAAATAAGATCCCAAAGAAGTAGAATCATCACCTGAACCACTGGCAGAAGCTCCATGAGAAGAAAATTCATCACTCCTACCAATTCTGGAGGTAGCTCTAGCAAGCACCGTCATAGATTCCAGATCCACAAATCTGGAGCATCTCCTAACAAAAGTCACTTTTGGATTAATAAGTGAGTCCTCAAGAGGCAGAGAGTTCAAAGGTTGAATCATGGGAATTTCATCTTCCTTCTCTGCACTATCTTCATTAACCTATGGAGTTAGGAAAGAATGCTAGTTGATTATATCATGATCCTCATTTAAAATGAGAGCTTTGCCTTTGGCTTCATCAGGAATGATTTCTCTCACTCCAAAATCCCCTGTATTTTCCTTGTCTTTAAAATCACCAAACAAATCATCATTTTTATGTGTAATATTTTCAGAGTTAGTCCCTTGTTCATAAATGTCTTTAGCTACAACCACCACCTCTTCCTTCTCTGGAATTTGCTC